AAGTTCTTGAAAGCCCTACATTAAAGCATGTTTGGTTACATATCAAGCAGCATTGTAAATAAGACTAGCAATTAAAAGTACGGCATACATCAAACAGACTTTGATATGTGACTTTTGTTCAACTGAAAATAACATATTTACCGTAATGAGCACAAAACCACACTGTGAAATATTAACATTTAAAGGTCTGCAAATATAAATGTGCACCTGTCATTAACCAAGCAGTTATTAAAGTCCACAAAAGGATCTGGAAGTTTGCAAATGAAAATGTTGGATATAAGGACTTACACTGTGTTTAACTTATAACACAACAATAAAGATCATTTAAACCACAGTTTAGGATATAGTACACTCACCTCCGACATAAAACACATCTACTACATATCTAATCTAAATCTTAAAGTAAAATCCTTTGGTTTGGTCTTGAGCAGCTCTCAGATGACTACAACGGGCTGTGATGGCTCATGGATGATGTCAAAAGCAAAAAAAAAAAAGTTGACTGTTAAGTTTTAAAAATTATTTGAAAAACGCTATTGCTCCCAATTCCTCAAATGATTTCCCTTTAAAGCTCGGCAAGACATAATACAACTGTTCTCATTGAATGCTTCCCCTAATGATGACTCAACATCATCCTTGTTTCAATGAGTACATGATCTACAATTCCACTTGCTATCCTTTTATTTTCTTAATTGAAATCACTATAATCAAATCCTCCTATTGTTTAATATATATCTTATTTCTAAACATTTTTAGATTGATCCAAAGAAAGACAAAATGTTGGGTGTTCAACTTTGTTTAATTGGCAGTGTATATAACAGTCATTAACATCCTTTGAATAAACATTGACCAGATTAATTTATGTATCCTGAACTAGCATTTTCATTTTTATTATTTTTAAATGTGTGCAAGCGTGGTACATTAACATGTGGGCGAACAGTTGATCAGTAGAATCTGTGCCTAAAACCGAGAGCCTTGCAGTGATTTCAGCGAACGAGGATCTAACTGGTTTCATACTCTTATGAGACATAATTATATGTTTTTTTCTAGGGCATAGAGGGAGCTGAGGGTTTGAATATAAAAGGAAGACAGATCATAAGTTTAAAGATGTTTTTTTTGAGTATCTCTTTGAATGATTTCAATTCAAATCCAGTCTTGTATAAAATGGCAAAATGTGAGAGAAAAGATTATGTTGGCATGCCCTCATACTGTAAGTGAACTATTTACCACCTAAATGAATACATGGGATAAATTATAATGCAATATTTTTTGTTTTAATTGTGATTATAAAATGTTTATTTTGGATGTACAGTATGATTAATAAATAAAAGTAATGTGCGTTATATAATACATGGTCATGTCCTCTTTTAAAAAGAAAGAATGAAAGACTAAATAAAATCAATGGTTATTATATAAATAGAGAGGTGCTTTTGCTATCAGGACAGTGCATGATATTTCCAAAATGACTGTTATTGAGGTTTATTGCATGCACATTTACAGAACAATAAAAGACAAAAAGGAAACTTTGAACCAATTCATCCATAGTATTGGTAGATACAGAAATGTATGTGAACATCAGTGGTGAGGGGACAAATCTTACCAAGACACCACATGTGAACTGTAAAACAAGAGTCAAGAAGCAAACATAAGTGAGTACAAATAAAAATAATAATAAAAAAAAACTACAACAACCAAGCATACAGATGACAGCCAAGACCAGGGATAATGAGAAACACACACTTACAAAAAAAAGGGTGGCCATGAAAGGTGGGGATGGGGGTCCAGTTAAACATTATGTGTTACATTACGTTAGCTTTGGTAAAATGAATCTGCTGGAGGTTCATCAGTCTAATTGTAACCCGTCTAATTGCTACACAAAATGAGTAAAACCATCCCACGTCCTGTGAAAGTTCTGAAGGGCCTCATTAACAGCACATTTGATCTTTTCCCAGTAAGATTGGACATAATAAAGAATGAGGTGAGTGTTGGTGGGTGAAGCGAGTGATATGAGTCATGAAAGGGATATTTACTTGTTGAATGTTCTTTATGAACTCCTGACCTGATTTTCTACAGCAAGGTAAGTATTTTTGGGAACTCTTACACTCGATCATGGATGGAATCATTTATAATTTGACCTTGATGTTATTGTGAATTAAACATTATACACTGCCATTTAAAGTTCTTGAAAGCCTTATATTAAAGCATGTTTGGTTACATATCAAGCAGCATTGTAAATAAGACTAGCAATTAAAAGTACGGCATACATCAAACACTTTGATATGTGACTTTTGTTCAACTGAAAATAACATATTTACCGTAATGAGCACAAAACCACACTGTGAAATATTAACATTTAAAGGTCTGCAAATATAAATGTGCACCTGTCATTAACCAAGCAGTTATTAAAGTCCACAAAAGGATATTTAAATATAGTCTACTTTCATTGATTATTTACTAATATTTTTGAATGCCACTAAGAAAAATGCTGAGGTTAATTTTCTACTCAAGGATTGACTGTCAAAAATATTTAGCATTGTCTTTAACAATATCTGCTGTCTCGGATGTCTTCGTGAACCACTGCACACTTTGTGACTGCTATTAGCCCCGTTTCCACCAAGCAGTCAAGTTTGGTTCACTACACTTTGGTTCAGTTCGGTACAGTAAACCCTGAACTTGCTTGCTTTTCCGCAGCAAACTGTTCCCTTATTTGCTAAGCGGAGTGTAAGCCAGATGGAGATAGCCGTGTCAGCTTTGTAATAGTGTGACATCATAGCAGCCCAACACAATGTAGCCAGCTATTAATTAAGTTAAACCTTCAATAAGAACAGGGACACAGTAAACAAGTGACTCTTTATGGTCGGATCTGTACCCTTGGCACCCCAACAGAAGGGTACCAAAAAAGTAGAACGGTACGGATCCCTTATTTTGGTACCATTCCCAACTTTTGACGTTGGAAACGCCAATAAATGGGTACCGTACTAAACCAAACTGAACCAGACCGCTGTCTCCAAGTCACTCCTACACAGCTTGTATATATTAGTGATGTCTACATGTCAGGCAATTTTAGCAGCTATATGTAAAATTCTTCAGAGCCCGAGCCATCCCACGTTCTGCATGTCCTAACAAATCTCACATCTTTTAGAGCTCAAAATCGTGTTTAGGCCACATTAGTTAAGATAAAGGCGGATCGAGTTGCTACTGGATCTAAGATCTAGTTTGCATCCTAATCTCAATTACCTTAATAATTATAAATATAAAGAAAATCCTGCTTAAGATAGGAACTGCATTGAATTATGCAATCTTTATCTGCACTTGGCAAAGTCAAAAAAGTGCAGTTCTTGTTTCTGCCACTGAACCATTCCTTCTACATAAAAGGTTATATATTTTGAAAAATAAACTTCACCATGTTTTTTGACCACTAATATGTGTCCCTTGTCTGTCTAGACCCCCCCCCCAGTTATCAGACAAGTCCATCGTCTCTGTCTTTTACCTGCTCCACTTTTCAGAAAAGATTTGCTCAAACAAGATGTTTGGAGATTTTCCCTTTGTGACATCACAAAGGGCAGTAACTTAACCCTTCCCCCAGGTGGGTGACACTCCCACAGATAGGTGTTATTTCTGCCCTCTGAGTCCGCCTTCTCACCGTAAACAATAGGGCATGGAGTGGGAAAGCCAGAGCCACATCCCCTTCCAGAAGCTCGTGGCAAAACACAGCTCATTTGCATTTAAAGCTACAGAAAGAGAAACACAGACGTCTGAAATAGAGGGGTTTATAGACATGCTAAAATATAGGATCAGAGTGGATTTATAACAAGAAACTTCACAGACATGTTTTTGGGAGCTCTGAGACTTACTTAAACTGGTTGAAAAGGAGGATAATATGGGACCATTAAGTAACTACTTTGGTTGGACTGAATATGACTATGACTTTTACTACTGTGCATATGACATTTAATTAAACTTAAGTTTACATTTAAAGCGCATAATATACTTGCCTGGGACTTTGTTGTCATTTGTACCTTGATTAATCTACTTTAGATTTTGTTTAATAAATTGTGATTTTTTTTTTTTTATCTAAAAGAGAGTAAAACAAGTACAGTTTCTTAAACTACCTATTTAATTTGTGTGTTGTACTTTGGACATTGCATTGGCAAGTAGAACATATTTGTAAAGATAACAAACGAGCATGCTGTGTGCATGCAAATAAAGGCATTGTAGACACAAAAATTGTCTGAAGCGTTTTCAGATGGTCATATCACATAGGAGAGTGAGTAGCCTACTGAAATTCATCATTTGGAAGTTTCTGTGAAATCAAAAAGTGTAAAATGTTGACATGAGAGGAAGAAATAGCCTAAACATGACGTATTACATCAATCTAATTGATTCTAAAAAGAACAAGTCAATATTTTGAGGCCAGTTACCCAAGGTTTGTAATGCTTGCAGACAATTACCTGGAGGTGGCCATTCTCCAGAGTAAAGAATATAAACTTATGTTTCATGAATTTTCACAATTAAAAAAACAAAAACATTTTAACTTGTAAAAAGTTAGTAAAATGTGATAGTGAAAGCAACACTGCAGAAGTGGGACACTCTTTCTTGAGAAGTACAACTCACAACAAAGCCCTGCCTCTATGCACATGCAGGTGACTTTTACAACACAGTGACATGTTTTTCTTTCACAACACTTATTTTCTTTTTAAGACTTTGAGAAACCACACTGAGAGCTAACGGATCTTGTGCTTTTCTCGTGATTCAAGTGCGAGGCTCCTTTCCCGGGTAAAGCCCCTGAACCTGATTTGGATTCAGCCATGCACAGTCTGAATAGGACCGCTGAGAAAATGCATTGTCGGGGTTTCTTCAATTCCGCCCCGCAACATGCATAGCTATGTGTCGGCCAGTGAGAGCGCTGCTCTGTTGTAGAGGTTGTTTATGTGGAGTGCTGGGTTAGGGTTCCGCCCACCGAGGTATCTCTGATCGCAGGGCAGACAGGCAGAGAGTGTAAAATGGCGCACAGCTGTCGGTGGCGGTTCCCCGCTCGGCCCGGAGGGAGCAGCAACTCCGGTACCGGGAGGAGAGCGGGCCGAATCCGGGTTACTGCCTCTCTGCAGAATGTCTCCGGAGCCCTCCCTAACGCTGCTGGGCTCGGACCCGGGTTTGATGCTGCATTACAGGTCTCCTCGGTTATCGGGAGCAACCTGCAGAAATTTCGGGATGTTTTGGGTGAATCGAGTGACTCGAGCAGCGGGGAGGTAAGCACAGGACAGGAAGCATCAGTGGGACAGCTTGCACGGTTCACTCAGAGAGCCCCCCTTTTTTTTGTTTGTTTGTTTGTTTGTTTGTTTGACTCACATTCCTGTTGAAGAGATTAAGAGGATACTCTGAGCCCCCAAAATGTTGACCATCTTTTTCCTTCCTGGCGTTCAAGTGTTGTGAGCAAACTTGTCATTTTAAAGGGATGCTCAGTTAACTTTGAGTTGGGGTTGTGTGGCCTTAAAACTCTCCAGTAAAGCGCTTGCAACGTGACTTATAAACACTACAAACACCCAAAAAATGGTCTCAAATAGTCCTGCTGGAAAAAAGAAAGTTTTCTTTTAACCTCAGCGGAGTGAGGAGATGCTAACCTTAAATCTACTGAACTAGTGCTAGCCTTAGTCTGCTATCTCGGACCAAGAAGAAAAAACAAAGCAAAAACAATTCCTATTATGTTGCTTTATGACAGTATATTAAACATTGAACACACAGCAGACGTGCAGCTACTAACAAACACTTCATACTATGTAGTTATGTGACATTAGCATGGTGGGAAGCATTCGTGGGTGCCTTCAAATTCATGCACAGCACCGTAAAAGTTATCGCACTATTACAGCTTAAACATGATTTCTCCTGCTGTTTGGGGAGAATTAAAACATGTGTGTTTTATCACACTGAGGATTCATCGTCTTGTGATAGCAAGAGGGGACCTTCAAGGTAGCTCGTTGCATGTTTGAAAACAAGATGTTAACTTGGGAGGAGGCGAGGAGTACATAATCGTGGTTTGTAACTTTGCAACTTCACCTATCTCCAGGTGTGTGTGTGTAAAGGTGTTAACGTGTTCGCTTATTACGCTTCGTGTTTGCAACATTTCATTTCCAGTGAGGTGTCAGAAACCCCCTTTTCCCAAACGAGGTTTAGCTGATTGGTTAGCTCGCTAGGCTAGCTACCTGCCCTCTCACAGCTACAACTACACCAACAATACTGCTGCCCCGTAATTCATGTTAAAGTTGCAATGTTTTGTTCCGGCGGTGGCCGCTTTTTTTGCATCCGGATGTCGCATGCAGACGTAGCGGCTTATATAATCGCAGCTAAAGTTGGCGAAGCTCTTACCGCAAAACTAAACAAAAAAAAAACCATTTCCCCATTTTGCAAGTGTTAAGCTAGGACAGCTAACCATGCTACGCACTACGCCACGCTAGCCATCGGGGCTACTGCTGATGCATAGGAAAATGGGAGGTGGACATGTTTTCCCCTTCTCGCTACACAAGCCAGTACGTAGATAGTACCACAATAACAGCGGGGTTATAACACACGGGGTGGGGGGTGAAGACTGAGGGCACATCAACTCTCTCAAAATCACCCCCCCAGTCTGTGTTGAAAGTGCAAACAAAAAGTGTATCTTTTAAAGACGTGGTGTGTGTGTGCGTGAATTGAACAGAGAAACTAGACCTGCTAGTGACAGTGTATGCATGCAAGGGCTGGCTACAATAACAACGAGCCCCTTCTTGACGGACCGTGTGATGTGGGGGTGTGTTCGTCTTAGCGAACTACCATCTTCCTCCTTCATGATGAGCAGCATGCGTTCATTGCAGTGGGAGTTCACTGTGTGAGGATGTTTACCGACAGATGCAGTGATCCCAGTCTCAGAAACACCGAATGCTTATTTGGTTGAAGTATTTTCATACACATAGTTAGGCTTTTCGCTATTTGTTTTTATTTTTTATTACAATGAATTAAAACATGCTTGGAAATACTTCTCAACCATAATTTTAGTTGTCAGACTTTGTAGAATATTGAAATATATATTTATTATACTCTATAATAATAATTTACTTGATTTGATTTTTTAAATTTCTAAACCAATTTTTAAAGAAAGAGTGACAATATTAGTCAGTATTTATTATTATTTTTTAACTTTCTTTATTGCTTTTACATAAATTTCCACTTAGTAATGTCCATACAGATTGTGTGTCGTCCCCCCCCCAACAAGAACAAGATAAACAAACAAATATTAGTCAGTATTATAGTATTTTGGGTATTTGCAGTCAGACTTTAGGTTATACTGTAAATACAACCAAAGCTGGTTGATTTAGTTAGTTCTTATTTGCTTTCAATTCATGCTTAAAGATGTTTTAAGCACACAAAAATACTTGAAATATTCCTTTTATGTATAGATGTCTCTCATGTCTCTTCCACCTGTTTTTTTTAAGACAATGGGTGAGTGCACAACAGTTTTTGGGATGTGTTTCCTCGTACAGTTTAATATTTATGAAGGTAACAGATGGGGTTTAGGGATTTTCTTTATTCTCTATTAAAAATGAATTGGATGAATATAAACATAGATTTGGAAACATTGTCCTTATAGGCAGAAGTCTCTTTTAGTAAGAAGGGGGCCAGTCTTAAGTGAATGAGCAGTATATGGGTTGTGCTGCCTCGACCTTTAAAATCCCCCCATTGAACCTGAAGTTGTGGACCCAGCATGGGGATTTCATTGAGAAGCAGCATAGTGCCCGTCTGGCCAGAGCAGGGTAGGATTGTTCAAGCTGACTGCAGCCTGCTGAGCTCACGGGGCAACCCTGAACAGAGCGCCAGCCGGACACTTGGCCACCCCTCCTTCCTCTTTGCAGACAGAAAGACCCATATCCACTTCAGACGCACACAACCACGTCTGAGAGGCAGAGCAACTTTTCTTCTGACAGCTGCCACTTTGGAATGGATTACTAAGCCTATTGGGATGGCTCAAAAGGGTGCTTGTTGGCCGTTGCTAACCAAATGAAGGCATTTGTTACCTCTTGTGTGTCTGGGGAATTCATTTTCTTGATCCAGCCAAATTGCCAATGCTTGTTTTGGTGCCGGTTGCAGTCAATGTTGACTTTTTTGTAAATGTGTGACCTTATCCCCTCCACTGTCTGCCTAAACAGAAGTCACATCATTTTTTAATTTTGTTCTCAGTCCATTTTATCTTATCTTCCTTTATCTTTGCCTACATCCTTCCCACTCACATATCATTACCAATGTTTAATCACTCTTACAAAAGTGCAGCTGAATAGATGTATCAACCCAAATGTCTCTTTGCCTCACTGATTTTAGCAGAAGGGGCTCCAGTCCAGCAGGTGTTTGGCCTTTTTAAATGGAAGAACCCCCCCAACTCCCCCCCCCCACCCTCCAGCTTACCCATCCCCGAGACAGCGTGTGGATTGGAGCAGGAAGCTTTGTGTCTGCTTTTATTCTGGCTCTCACAAAGTGCGAGCGGCTGAAAGAGCACAGGCAGGGATATCAAAGGGTGCAGGGTGATCCCCTCCTTCCTCCCAACGGGACAACAGTGGGAGGAGAATTAGTCACAGACCCTCCCATCCATGGCTTTATTCTACTAGAGCAGAATGCTCTTGGAGTTGCTTGATTGGGAGAAAGGCGGCAATTGTGTTGTCTTTTTTACTGTGTGTGTGTGTTTGTGTGGTGGTAGTTTGTTTAGGTGTGTAGACTTTATGCCCCCTATTGCACTCAGGAGTAGGCGTGTCTTCTTTGTCTTTATTTTGATTAAATCCTCAATTCTTTCTGACTGCTTGGTTGGGTAGGAGGGGGTGTGTGTCTTTTGGTTCCTTCCAGGCTGTTTGTGTGAGTTGGTGAGTGTTTGAGAGTGTGAGGGAGACACCTCTCACACGTGCCAATGACTCTTGTTTGTCTTTGTCCATTGCCTGTCTTCCTCGCCTTCAGTGTAGGTGTAGGAAGAGAAGACATCTCACCCTGGAGAGTGTTTGTTTTGGTCTCTCTCTGTGCTGTCAAGCAAATGTGAAACAGTTGCATTAAGTGTTGGGACACTTGGAAAAACAAATGTCCACCTTTTGCTTGGGGCTGACAGGGGTCACAAAGGGGAATTGCTGTGTAATTCACTCAAGTGGCGGAAACTATTTTCCAGTCAGCAAATAAGTCTGGACCTTAGACTTATATGTCTTTTCATATCAGTCATTAATGTCACTGTGTACTGTTATTAGTAGTTATTCAGATTTCTCTGTGGCTTTTTATTTTTTTTGATGGATGTGTCATCAGAGGCGGTCTATGGGAGGATGAACCATCACTAATTTACATTCCAGGAAGGGATGAGGCACTCGTGTCTGTACAGTAAATCTAAGAGAAAAGCTTCCTGAAATGTGTCAAGAAAATGTTGTTTTCAGACTAATGGAGAGAAATGATTCTTATGAGATGTTCTCTATAATCCAACTGCCTATTTGGTACCTGACAACATACTTATGCCTCAGTCTGATTCAATTCCTGTCTCCCTCCTGGTAATAATATGTTCACATTTTAAATGTGTTAACATCTGGCTTGATGCTAAGCTTATTTCTATCTGTACTTTTATGTCAAAAAGGATCTTATATGTTGCAGCTATTACCAGGCTAGTGATGCTATCATATTTACATTTTTACCAAGGGGGTCTTGGAAAGTTGATCTTTGAATTTAAAACATTTGAAATGTGCGTTCTTTGTAAGGGTGCAGTCACAGTGTCTATGTGGTGTAAATGCTGTTTTTAAAGACAAAACAAGTCTCATCAGTTATCTTAGGGTTGCAACATTTGAGTCAAAATGATACCTCAAACCAAATTCACATCCGTCCCGTTACTCGCAGGGAAAGTCCCTTGTAACTCCTGAAAACCAAAATGTTGCTTTAGAAATGAATAATATCAGTTTCTTTCTGTCATCATCACGAGGTGTTTCATATCAAACCATTCCTGCATTGATCAGTTTAGATAAGGTGTGACAGAACAGCAGGAAGCGAAACTGCTCGCGTTATCACGGTGAGAGTGACGGCAAACAGTTGTTCAAAAAGATTTTTTGTGCTCTCTTAAACTGAAGAGATGAAATGGAAAGTTAGCAGTAACCTTTGTATCCCCGGCAGGTTGGAATACAACCCTACCTTTCTAACCTACTACAGTGTTTGTTTACATCTTGTAGTTACTTTCTTGCGCTTGCCCTACTACTGAGCTCATGGAGAGCCTTGT